TACCAGAGCGGCCTCCCTCTGCCGAACACTGGATGCTCCACTCCACCAATCACAGCAGCAAGCCAAACCAAAGGAAAAATGCTGTAGCTCCACCTCAAATGGATCATCTGCTGGGTCCATTTCAGGTCGGTTCGTTCTGTCACGGTTTGTGCAGGAAGCAGGACCCAAATGCAGATTAAAGTGACAAAAACTAGCTCCTTTATTTCAAGGCTCAACTAACAAATACAGAACAGAACACTCACCGCAGACCAAGTCAAAACACAAGACGAACCGACAAAGACAGACGGAAAAACCAGAACTTAAATACACCCAGGACTAATCAAACAAACACGAGACAGGTGAGGAGGGAGGAGAAAACACAGAGGCACCAGGTGAACACAATCGGGTAATCAGGGAGGGAAAACAGACAGAAAGCAACAGGCAGGAAACGGGGGTGAACAATTTACAAAATAAAACAGGAAACCCAAAGACAAGACAAAACAACAACACAGACAGATCGTGACAACATGTCTGCAGGCCCAACGTGTATCACTAAGCCTTTGGAGTTCCCTTGGTGCACCGTCAAACATCTCCCGCTGCACTTCCAGCTATTTGTTGTGTACATAAGACCCAGATATGAACACATACAATCGTTCCATCAATGAGAAGAAGTTTCCCGCATCTGTTACACTTTTGACAGAGTCTACTATGACTAAGTTTAGGCAGTGTGTACTGCAATGCACATAGAAAGCATTTTTGGCTACTTCTTTTATTTTCGCTTGAACACCAGCATGTGCCCCGCTCATCACTGCAGCGCCATCGTAGCCCTGACCGACAAGGTTTTCTTTATACTCCAGCCCATGTTTCTCAAGAAAACAAATAATCTTACCACTTAACGCAGCAGCATCCAGGCCTTCTGCCACGTCAAACTCCAGAAAGCTCTCGTGAACAACACCATTGTAATAGTATCTCAGAACAAATGAAATTTGCTCTTTTTTCTGAAGATCTTTAGTTTCGTCTACAATAACTGCAAACTGCCTGCTCTTTTTAACCTCTTGAATTATTTCTTCCTTAACCATTGCAGCCAAACATTCCAGTATCTCGTTTTGGATAGTTTTACTGGTGTATGTTACATTTTTAGCTTGCTTTTCAAGTCTTTTTTAAATCATAGGATCATGGTTTCCCAGCAAATCTAACATAGCTAAAAAAACACCTTTTTTTTCTGAGTCAGGATTCTCCCTGTGACCCCTCCGCTGGGCTGTGTTTTCTGTGGCAGTTATAATCAGAATCTCAGCTAGTGTTTTAATGTAGTTTTGATTTTTAATCACCTGTTTCTTATTTTGCTCATCCAATATTCCCATCATTGAGCTATTTCTGTCATTCATTTTCTTGTTTTCTCCCCATGCAAACATTGTATTTACATGGCTTTCAGATCGGGCATGAGAACAGAAACCACTGTCTTTCATTGTGGCCTTTTTCCAGTTACGATACCCGTCAATTGAGGTGAAAACGGTCTTGGGGGCATCAGGTAAAGAGAAATGTCTACAGGGGAAACAATACGCTGAATCATTGGACTGTGAGTACTCAAGCCATGAATGAGTTTTGTACCAGTCCGTTCTGAAGCTTCTTCTGGCTCCTCCCTGAAGGGTCTTGGGGAAACTCTCCCGTGTCGGCTGAGCTGGCTCCTCACACCTGGACTTGGATATGTCTAGAAAATGGGAGTAAAATATATTCAAACTGTAATAGAGCTTAACTGATTACACATTATAATCAACTAATTATAACACAGTTTGGAGCTGTCATTTATTCAATATGTGTTTAACCTACTGGCTGTGTTAATGCGTGCAGCACAACATTTTGGCCTAGGTGTGTATTGTTTTGGGTAATTTTTGAATTTCAACCTCAGCTGCTATAATAGGTCTAAAATACATTGTACACAAAATACTCACAATCTACCCTTTTACTCATACTCAAAACTATCTAAGGAAAGCAAACATAATTTTTTTTAATTAATAATATATTTATTAGACTGAGGCTAGCCCTGTCTCTTAAATAAACTGTTTTGCAAAATGTCCTTTTGTGTGATTTTTGCATCTTATTCAGATGCATTATACTTTGTATTAACAATTTTCATCACATGTGGACCAACTCGACTGGCCGTTGGTTGCAAGGGTTTAGGAATATTCCTTTCCCCCTCACTGTCTGAGCTCTGCATGCCGTCTTGTTGTCTCTCGCTCTCTCCCTCTTGCACCTTGTCTATGTGATGCTCTCCCTCTTCCGTCTCTTCTTCTCTGTTGTGTTCTCCTTCCTCCTCCTGTCCCTGTTCATCTTTGCCTTCTATCTCATCACTGACACTTTCCTGTTCTTCATCTCCTTCCACCTCCTCATGTCCCTGGTCATTTACCTTGTCACTTCCCTGTTGCTCAGCCTCACTTTCTATCCTCTTTGGTGACAAAAAACTTGCAATGCCACGTTTCCTCTTCATTTCTATAAGATTCAAAGTCCATTTATTACGTTGTTTTCTTTTATATTACCAGTAATCATTATTAATAATGGTGTTCAAATTAAAATGCTGTTTGAGCAAATGCTTGTTGTTTTCCCACTTACTGTGTGCTTCAAACTCTAGCTTGTGGCTTGCAATCCAAACAGATTCCTGAAATAAGATTCAAAGTAATTATTGAAGAGCAGAATCGTTTAGCCTTGATCAGGTCGTACATCTTGCTAAATGATTGATAATATAAAAATATTTCATGCATGACATTTTTTTAAACAAAAACCTAGCTAACGTTCCACGCACACTGTACAGTAAGTAAAGAGTTACTGATAATAACGTTACTCAACCGGGTTTGTATTGTTTCAATATCAGCATTAACGTTATGATTCACATGGACATATCTAACTTCTCTCTTTTATGTAACTGGAAAACATTAGCTTTGTTCTACACTTATTTCACAGGAGACGTAGTTGATCAGTCTTACCTCATTCCTTCCGTCTACTTCTAGAGATGGGCGAGTCATGATTCATCCGGATCATTAACCCGGATCCTAGTAATGAGCCGGTCGTGACGAGTCTCCCTCTCGATTAACCCGAGTCCTTTGAGTCCTACACCTGATGTGACGTAACAATTAAAACTATAAATTGCGTCACTCTTTACTCTCTTTATAACGTGTACAATCACATTACAACGTTGTTGTATCCAGAGATCCAGCAGACTCGTCGCCATGCACGAATCAACAGCAAATTCAGCCCCTCCTCCGGCTCCCGCGAGAGTCCCGTGAGCCGTGAGTGAGCCGTGAGTCGTTGGACTCGCGGGAGCCGTGAGTGAGCCGTGAGCCGTGAGTGAGCCGTGAGTGAGCCGTGAGCCGTGAGTGAGCCGTGCGTCCGCAAATCTCTGAGTCTGCTGCGACTCGTCGAGGGAGCCGTGGGACTCGCGGGAGCCGTGCGAGCCGGAGGAGGGGCTGAGTCTGCTGTAGATTCGTGCATGGGGACGAGTCTGCTGGATCTCTGGATCTGCTGCCTGCTATATGTTACGGCTCTGAGTCCTCGTAGGCTACTGGTCTCTCTCGATCATTGACCTGGATTCACGGATCCCGCGATTTTTCCGGCTCTAAATTAAGTTTCAGTGTAGACTTCTAACAAAATGGTCATGTTGTGCAACAGTCTCCTGTAATAATATCTGCATTTCCAATAAGGATCTTACTTGGAAACTCGTTTATTTTGAACATGGCACACAAAAAGAAACAAATGATAGAAAATTGCAAAACAGTTAGAATATATAAAATGTAATTATACAATTATTATTATTATTATTATTATTATTATTATTATTATTATTATTATTATTATTATTATTATTATTATTATTATTATTATTATTATTAAATGAAAACACAATTGTGCAAAATTAGCTTAAGTACAGGAACATATTAAAATAACTATATACATATAATGCAAAACACTTATTTTTTAAAATGCACACACACACACATGTTTTATTAAAGCAAAAGACACTGTGTAGCGGAGGTTAATGTAACGTTAGTTTAATATGCTGGTTAAATGCAACAACTTTTCGGTTTCACCGGTAGGATTTCTACGGTCTTGGTCATGCTGACTCATATGACTCAAATGACTCAAATGACTCGTATGATCCGGATCTCTTCAATGATTGACTCAGAAGACTCCGAGTCCATAAAATGATCCGGATTTGCCATCTCTATCTACTTCACCGAATGCTTCTCTATTTGTTCTGTCCCGTTCAAAATTAAATCGCCGCCAATCACATTTCAGCTCGCGCCAGGGAGGGGGGTAACTGGCTCGTGTCTTGTGGTGCATTCACTTGCACTCGGACATTAGAGATTTTTTCTCATAAATGTCCGATGAGCCACAACTTTTATTTCAAAACAAAGCTGCCAACTGGGGTGGCAGCTGGGGTGGCATTGGCAAGGATGTGTTTTAGGGTGGCAGCTGCCACCCCATGCCACCCCGGTAGATCCGCCCCTGGCTAGATGGCAATGATGGTGGTGGGGCAGGTGAGCTATCGTTAGCCTCCGGCTCCGGCTGCCGCTGCACGTCAACATTGCTAACGTTAGCGCTCGATTTATAATGCTACCGAACTTGCTGCTGCAGCTACAGTACAGCACAGGTTAATTAAACGGTTCGCTCGTCACGCAAGGTATCACATGACATGAAAGGGAGCAAGGTCATTGGACAGACAAATTACAAATTAATTGAGGTTGCTTGGTTACTTTGAAGACTGCGTGAACCGGTCAATGCCATTGGGGCTCCCAAAAAAAATTTTTTAAAAAGAAAAAAATGTAATTCTTTTTTTTTCTTTTTTTGCATGGGCCCCTTGCCGGCTCTGGGCCCCGGTGCGTTGCACCGGCTGCACCGTTTACAGTTACGCCACTGATTTGTTGGTTCCTTTAAAATCAGGTTAATGTCCAAGGACGTTTGGATGTTTTTCACATTTGTTATCAAAGACATCTGCTGGATTGTCACGTGCCTTGCCAGTGACCTGTTTAACGTGGATATAAAGATGGGGACAGAGCGAGACGTGTCTCACTTCTCTGTCTGAACAGCGATATTTCAGAATGAGGAGAGCTGCAGTTTTTCCGGCGTTGCTGCTCTGTCTGCTCTGGACGGGGGCTCGGGGTGAGGATCAGAGCAGCAGTCAGACCCAGGTGAGCATTGGCATCTGGGCTGAGGTGAAGGAGCTCAGAGACATGGCCATCGAACACAGGATCAAGATCCAGAGGCTGGAGCAAGACAACACAGGTGACACAGCTGGCACAAAACACACTGAGAGCCATGTCACGCTGCACTGAGAGCCATGTCACGCTGCACTGAGAGCCACGTCACGCTGCACTGATACATGCAACCATCATCACTGACACTCTTCACTTTAAGGACTCATTTGTTGTTTTTAGCCACACAGGTCAGACTGACAGCCATCGAGAGCAAGCATGCAGGTAAATATTTACATATGCTGATTTATATGTTGATGTACAATAATGTTTGTGACAGAGCTCCACAGTGACATCTACAATAATATTATTTATCTGAAGAAAGTGTCCCCACCACTTTTGAAAACAAAGTGACGCCTGCCAATGAGTATGAGTGTGTTTTAATCCTAATTAAAAACCTAAAATGTGTTCAGTTCTAGAGGCCAGGGTGATCTCTAGTGAAAAGGATGTGGGGGAGTTCAAGAGAGCAAACGCAGGTAAGCTATCTGAGTTAAAGTGAACTCTTTAGTGTGGTAAAAAAACAGGTGTCAAACTTTCTAATATGTGATGTGTAAAAGTGACGGAAACTGAAATAAACTGAGGATGAAAACTATATTTTAAACTTGTTCAGGTCTAGAGAACAGGATGAGCTCCAGAGGAAAGGAGGTGGAGCAGCTCCAGAGACCGAACGCAGGTGAGAAACTATTATTAAAAAATAAAGATTGGCTGCTTTATGTAAAAAAACAGATGGTGAATTTAAAAGTGAGAAAAGAGAAGTAAATTATATGTTTAACAGAAATAGTACAAACATATTGATGAGATATGTTTGTTTATCAGCTGTTAACCTGCTCTTTCTCTGTATTGCAGAACGCCTGGCTCGAGTCACAGCGAGTGAGATTAAGAGCACAGGTAGGAGAACAAAGTAATCAAATAAGAATAGAAGAAATTACTAATATAATTATATTTTTCTATAAAAACGTTGGATTTGTTTGCCGTTTTAAAAGGCAACAAAATATTGCAGTGAATTTGAAAAGTGAATATATAGTATGCAGGGTTGGGAGGGTTACTTTGTAAATGTAATCAGTTACTGATTACTGAATACATGGCTCTGAAAGTAATCAGAATACAGTTACAGTTACGCGACGGCGTCTTAAAAAAGTAACGTAATCAGATTACTTTTAGATTACTTTATTTTTCCATCACAGATGGGTATGTTTTGGTGTAGGCCTCCAGGAGACATAAAAAGCAAAAGGAAATTGAACGTGTTTTACTGTTTTAATGGCTTATCAAGAGCACAACTGAAACATAACATCTGAAACGATGTAACAACATAATAAACTCTTTGAGGATGCAGCTTGGGATGTGAGGAGTGAGGGACACGGCTTAGAACGGGCGTGTCGTCTTCTGTCCTGCCAGTGTTGGCAGGACATGAATTAAAATGTCGAATTCGGACTTCATTTTAAGGACATGTCGGCCAGGGGTGTAATAATAATAATAATAATAATAGCTTCGATTTCTATAGCGCCTTTCAGGGGACCCAAGGTCGCTTCACAAGTAATAGTGCAAAGACAAACATAACAAAACAAAAGACAGACAAACAGAACAACAGATCGATTTAGGGGCCGAAAGCCTTGGCAAACAGATGGGACTTGAGGGCCCTTTTGAAGGCTTCAAGTGTGGGGATGTTGCGTATCTCCGCAGGGAGAGCGTTCCAGAGGGTGGGGGCTGCCACACTGAAGGCTCTGTCCCCGTAGGTTCGCAGTTTGGTGCGGGGGGTGGTAAGCAGGCCAGAGTCTGAGGACCGCAGGTTCCGGGGTGGGGCATGTGGGTGAAGGATGTCCGATAGGTACTGGGGGGTAAGGGCATGGAGGGATTTGTAGGTAAGGAGGAGGATTTTGTAGGATATGCGGGACTTGACCGGCAACCAGTGTAGGTGGATGAGGGTGGGAGTGATGTGCTGCCACGGTTTTGTGTGCGTGAGTACCCTAGCAGCACAGTTTTGGACATACTGGAGCCTGTCCGGGGTTTTGTTGGGAACCCCGAACAGGACACCATTGCAGTAGTCCAAGCGGGTGGTGACAAATGCATGGACTAGGGTTTCGGCAACCGACTCCGAGAGTGACGGTCGGAGTCTGGCAATGTTCCTCAGGTGATAAAAGGCCGATTTGGTCACAGATTTGACGTGGGAATGGAAGGAAAGGGTGGAGTCGAGGATGACACCCAGGTTGCGGGCTTCAGGAGATGGGGAGATGGAGCAGCCGTCAACCTCAAGGACGAAGTCACCAACCTTCTGGAGCAGGGCCTTGGGTGCCACAACCATGAGCTCTGTTTTCATGCTGTTTAGTTTCAGATAGTTGCATGACATCCATGCTTTGATGTCATGCAGGCAGTTGATGAGAGACTGAGGGGGGAGCTGGGAGGATGGAGTGGTGCTGAGATACAATTGGGTATCATCAGCGTAGCAGTGGAAGTTGAGTCCATGATGTCGGATGATCTGGCCGAGGGGGAGCATGTAAATGGTGAACAGGAGGGGGCCAAGCACAGAGCCCTGGGGTACACCGTGGTGGACTGGGGCCGGGGCTGAGTTTGAGCCACTGATGGAGACAAACTGTTTCCTGTTGTGGAGGTAGGATGTCAACCAGGACAGCGCTGTGCCAGTGACACCTAGGAGGTCTGAGAGGCGGGTGAGGAGGATGTTGTGAGAGATGGTGTCAAATGCTGCAGAGAGGTCCAGGAGGATGAGGATGCTGAGGCGGCCAGAGTCAGCAGCAATGAGGAGATCGTTGGTGATCTTGATGAGGGCGGTCTCAGTGCTGTGTTGCTGTCTGAAGCCGGATTGGAAGGGCTCATAGAGCTCATTGTTGGACAGGTACTGATGGAGTTGGCCGGCGACCACTCTTTCCAGAGTTTTGCTGAGGAAGGGAAGGTTGGAGATCGGCCGGTGGTTCTGGAGGTCGTCGGGGTCCAGGCCAGGTTTTTTGAGTATGGGGGTGACTGAGGCCAGTTTGAAGCTGGTGGGGACTATACCAGGAGCCAGAGAAGCGTTGATGATGACCACCATGTAGGGACAGGCTGTGGGCATGGGGTCCAGGGAGCAGGTGGAGGTCTTGGCCGAGCTGACCAGTTTGGCCACTTGGAGAGCATCCACAGGGGAGAAGGAGGAGAGGTTGGAGTGGGAGAGGCGCGGCGCTTGGGGTGCATTACCAGGTGGCTGAGGTGCAGGTAGGGGGGGAAGGGCCAGTCACCAGGAGCTGCTGATGGATGGCCTCGACTTTCGCCTGGAAGAAGTCAAGGAATTTGGAGCACAGATCGGGAGCCCCTGAGGGCTGAGGGGCGTCAGGGGGCCGTAGTAGGCGGTTGATGGTGGAGAACAGTCTTCTGGGGTTGCTTTGCTGAGCACCAATGAGACGGGAGTAGTAGTGAGTCTTGGCATGGGAGAGAGCTTCCTTATATGTTTTGATATGCTCACGAAAGGCCAGGAGGTGGACTGTGAGGCCAGTTTTTTTGGAGAGCCTCTCCAGCTGGCGACCAGAGGCCTTCAAACGGCGGAGTTCAGTGGTGAACCAGGGCGCAGGGCGGGTGAAGGAAACAGTCCGGGTTTTAATGGGGGCGAGAGAGTTGAAACTGAGGGATAGGGCAGTGTTGTAGTGGGCTACCAGGCCGTCCACGGTGGAGTCGGAGGGACCCGAGGCCATGTGGGTAGCTATCAGGTCCGATAGGGCCGGTGCACTCACAGTCTTAATGTTCCTAAACATGATTAGAGCATGTGTAGAGCTATATTTGTTCAAGCACCGGATCGGCAAAACAGGAGAGTGTGTGCACCAGTCTGCCTAGATCTATGAATTCATGTCTGTGACTCTCACAGTATCTGCTGCCCGCAGTTGTTTTATAGAAGGAAAACCTCCTTCACTTCATGAAATCTCTGCAGCACCAGGAGGCAGCGGGAGGGTTAACTCAGCCTCTGAGAAGACGAGCGTGCAGTGCCTTTCACGCACCGCCTTCACTGTGTTTACCTTCACAATCATAAGGCTAAAGAGCGACCGCAGGCTGATGTGTTTTAACCACACACACCTCTATACACACACAACTTAAACGCAGACTTTTGTTCCTCCATGTTTCGTTGTTATCGTTTCACTGAGCGAGCGGACCCGCCCCTTTTTTTTTCAAACGCTCCTTTTTGGTCCATCTGCGGCGGTAATAGGTTTTGTGCGCTGTGATGATTCAGCTGTACCTTTAATATAGAATATTAAATGTTGTGAGGAAATCTTTCCACCAATAATTCCAATAAGTAATCCAAAATGTATTCACTTCAGGTTTACGAAAGTAACTGTAATCAGATTACTCGTTTTTCAAATGTAACGCGAGCTGAATACAGTTACTTGATTTTTGTATTCTGATTACGTAACGGCGTTACATGTATTCCGTTACAACCCAACCCTGATAGTATGCTAGAACATTATTTTCACATCAGATCTGCAATAGTGAAATTGTATATAAGAGACTATAACTTTATTTGACTAAAACAATGTTAAACTTGTTCAGATAGAGTCCAGGATGAGCTCCAGTGAAAAGGAGGTGGAGGAGCTCCAGAGAGAGAAACAGAAACTATAGAGTGGTGCAGGAATGAATCCTAAAACCAGGAAGTGAGTCAGCATTTCACCACTTCCTGTTCCCTGGTCTCAGAGCCAATGGGATCTCTCCATAGGATTTAGGAAAATAGCTGGAAATAAGGTCTGAGACACCATTGAAGAGACGGATCACGTTTTGTTCTACGACATTAAATCCATCAGCAGTGACCCCACTGGTGATTTCTGAAGAGTTGACGTGTCTGAGAAACGATGGTTGTTACCAAGTGGCTGAATAGGACTACAGAAGTTGTGGAGGACGTTGTACGTTATTACGCCGATCACGTAAACACTCCGCTAAGTTTGTTTGCCCTGTTCTGCTTGAAAGCAAGTCCCTGCCTCCTGCAAACTGTTCAAACAAACGCTTCAACTCGTTACATTTAGAATCTGTATGTTTGAATATGGATCTTAAGTTTGCGTGACGTTGAAGTCGTGCTGCTGGACTCGGCTGTAGTTCCTTTATAGCATAACGTTAGCATTTTGCTTCTGGAGATTAGATTTATGATTAGAAAATTATAAAAGTAGGCTGAACAAAACGTGCATTTATCAAACAGGCTCGTTTTCCAAAGACCTTATTTCGAGCTATTTTCCTAAATCCTATGGAGAAATCCCGTTGCTTTTTTGTCGAGGGAACCAGCAGCTTCCAAATATACGTCATCCCTGCACCGCTCTATTATCAAGAGTCAAAATGTTATTTAATGAATAGAACTGGTATACTGAGGAGAATATTAAACATCAATCTCTGCTGACTATCAGAATCCAAACCACTGACTTTCTTAGTTTAATAGACAGTTTGTGAATGAGTTCTCATCTCTCTGTGTGCTTCCTCCTCTTTCTCACAGGCCATCTTCAGGTGGCATTCTCAGCCGGTTTCACTGATTCAGGAGCCGTCGGACCCTTCAACACTACAATCACACTGAAGTACAGTAAAGTCTTCACCAATATCGGCCAGGCTTACAGCCCAACTACAGGTACCACACACACACACACACACACACACACACACACACACACACACACACACACACACACACACACACACACACACGAGTGTGCATTTTCTTCAGAGTTTTCTTAATGAAACCATTAAAACATCTCTTAGTGTTCCTACAGTAGATCATGCTAGAAAGTAGAACCAAGTCAAGAGCTCCTACGTGTCCCTTATTAAAAAACCCGTCCTTAAGTCCTGCTGAAGCTCCAGAAACAATCTACCCTCACTGACCTACTCCTCTGATGCAGGTATCTTCACAGCCCCCGTCAGAGGAGTCTACTACTTCAGATTCAACGTGTGGGAGAACCGCAGTTTAGTTCATACCTCTGTTGAACTTCATCACAACGACCAGATGAAGATGAGGCTTTATGATTACAATGATAGCACTGGCTATGTCTCTGCGTCTAACGGAATGGTTCTTCAGCTGGAGCGGGGAGATGTTGTCTGCATCGTTCTCACCTGCGACCACGGCGTTTATGATGATTCTTATAACCGCATGATTTTCAGTGGATTTCTACTCTTCCCTCAGTGAAGCCCACTGTAAAACACCCACTGCATTAAGTTTCAACATTACATATTAATAAAGAAGTGTGTTGACTGAATATATATAATTGTTTGTGTTTATTTTTGCTTGGTTACATGAACAAGAGGCATTCATTACCATAACAACGTTTTCTACGGACAATATCAGACCAACACTTTAGCAGTGCTGTTGTTGTCCTAACCCTCTAAACTGAGACCAAGGCCCTTTCTCATTTCTCCAACTCCCCTCCTCGACTCCCCTCCTCGACTCCCCTCCTCGACTCCCATCCTCGACTCCTATCCTCGACTCCTATCCTCGAGACTGCGGACGAGCCGAGGAGGGGAGCTGAGGAGAGAGGAGGGGAAGCAGCAGGCGGTTAGAGAAATGAGAACTCCTCTCCTCTGAGCGGATGTGTTCATGACGACTTATATATTTACTTTTAATTCATTCACAGTGCGGTATAATGAGACAATAACAGGCTACAGATGCGGACACACACATACACACACACACATATATATATTTATATAAATATATACCATTTCAGAATCAAACAGAGCACTCTCATAATAACGTAACACTATCAGAGACTGGGTATATATCTCCCCCCCCTCTCTGGTCGCTACAATGAGGAAAATAAATTATGGGCCAAAAGTTGTATTTACAAGTATTAAAAGTAAGCAGAGGACACCAAACCAACTGAAACCTGTCTGTCCGCTGCTTCTACGCACTGAACAACATACACACATACACACTGTACCACACACACCGACAGCTCCTAAAGCACAATCAGGCTACAGCCGTTGTGTATTTTATTATGTGAAGCACTAAATGGTTTTAGAAAAATATCGAGTCTTTGTTTGTAGATATCTACTAAACTAAAGCAAATACAGAGAGTAATATGCCTGTTATACTGAGTGATGTGGTGACACGTTATTGGACATAATTCACCTCTCGTATTGTGTTGCCACACGGACCCTTTAGTGGGAACACCTGTAGCGTTAGCTTCCATTCCTGCTAGCTCATCAAGCAGAGCAGTTCATGTGATAACCTCTCTGTTATTAATGGCTAATAAAGATTAGAACTCTGTTCTTAATACACCGCCTCCGACTCCCTTTTCCTGGCACTACACTGGTGACCCTGACTTTTCCGAGAAAGTTTCCGGGAAATTAACGAGCATCGCTGAACGCGATGTGTTCGTAAAGCTGCCGGAATTCTGGGAGCACGCCGCGGAGGCATGGTTCGCACATGTGGAGGCGCACTTCACCTGCCGACAGGTCCGTGACGGGGACCTGAAATACTACCATGTTGTAGCAGCGCTGGGCAGCTCTGCGTCGTCCAGGTTGGTGGGATTCATCGCAGCCCCCCCACATCATGGCAAATATGAGGCGATTAAGGCCCTTCTCCTTAAGACATTTAGCTAATCTGCTAAGGAGAGGGCCCGCCAGATACTTGACATTCAAGGCCTAGGAGACAGCAAGCCATATCAGCTAATAGAGAATATGCTAAATCTGCTAGGGGGGAGGATCCCCGGATTTTATTCACCGAGATTTTCCTGCGTCACTTGCCTCCCCGGGTACAGACGGCGCTGGCCAACACGCCTGTCATGGAGCCCCGTGCTTTGGCTGAGGAAGCGGATCGTTTTTTCCTGGCTACACAACAGCCCGGTGCAGAGACGTTAGCCGCGACGCTCAGCGGCCCACCTGCAAGAAAGCGTGGCGGAGGCCGGACACGGCTGTGGCGAGCCGGCGTGGAGACGCCGGAGAGTGCGTTTACCACGGGGGGCACGGACCGCGATTGACGACGGCTAACGGCGGTCCCATTCGCACGTACGGCGTGAGGCCTATGTGTCTGTGCATCGGAGGACAGCGTTTCAGCTGGGATTTCGTGACAGCGGACATTTCTTTTCCCCTCCTCGGAGCGGATTTTTTGTGTGCTCATGGACTCTTAGTGGACGTTAAGAATAGGCGTTTGGTTGATGCCTTAACGTTTTCTTCCCTCGTGTGCACACTTGGCAGCGCAGCGTACAACGGGCTGTCAGACTCGCTGTCAGGGGCAGACACGTTTCTCAGACTGTTGGCCGAGTTTCCAGACCTGTCGCTACCCACCTTCTCTGCGCTTACCACTAAGCATGGCGTGGAACACCACGTCACTATCGGGGGGCCTCCTGTCTACGCCAGGGCCCGGCGGTTGAACCCTTCTAAGCTGGCTGTGGCGAGGGCGGAGTTCGCAACCATGGAGCGCCTGGGCATTGTCCGCCACTCCGACAGTCCTTGGGCTTCCGCCCTGCACGTCGTTCCCAAACCGAACGGCGGGTTCCGCCCGTGCGGGGATTACCGCCGACTCAACGACACCACTACGCCTGACCGCTATCCGGTGCCGCACATTCAGGACTTTTCGGCGCATCTGCCGGTACGTGGGTGTTTTCCAAGGTGGACCTGGTGCGTGGATACCACCAGGTGCCCATGCACTCCCTGGACATTCCCAAGACAGCAGTGATAACGCCTCTTGGACTTTTTGAGTTCCTGCGGATGCCTTTTGGACTCAAGAATGCCGCTCAGACGTTCCAGCGCCTGATGGATTCGGTGCTGCGGGACCTGCCGTTTGTGTTTGTCTACCTCGACGACATACTCGTCGCCAGCGCTTCAGTGCAGGAGCACCTGTCCCAACTCCGAGCCCTTTTCACACGGCTCAACGAACACGGATTAATCATCAATCCTGCAAAGTGCCAGTTCGGGGTGTCTGACATCGATTTCCTGGGGCACCGCGTCACCAAGGGCGGTGCGACACCTCTGCCAGCGAAGGTGGAGGCTGTTGCGGCTTTTCCTCGCCCACTCACAGCCCGGTCGCTTCGTGAGTTTCTGGGGATGGTGACTTTCTACCACCGTTTCATCGCCCGGGCCGCACACATCATGCGGCCGCTGTATGAAGCGTTGAAAGGCAAGACCCCCGTCCAGGAGATTGACTGGACACCAGAGGCGGACGGCGCTTTTGCTGAGGTCAAGACCGCGTTGGCTCAGTCGGCTTTGCTGGCACACCCATCATCTACGGCTCCCATCTCCATCACCACGGACGCGTCGGACTACGCGGTAGGCGCAGTGCACGAGCAGTGGGTGGAGGGCGCTTGGCAGCCGCTCGCCTTTTTCAGCCGCCAGCTGACGCCTAGAGAAGGCAAATACAGCGCCTTTGACCGGGAGCTCCTCGGACTTTATTTGGCCGTGCGGCACTTCCGTTTCATGCTGGAAGGCTGTGAATTTACGGCGTTTGTCGACCACAAGCCGCTCACCTTCGCCATGTCAAAAGTGGCGGAGCCTTGGTCGGCACGTCAGCAGCGGCAGCTGTCCTACATATCGGAGTTCACTACGGACATTAAGCACGTGGCTGGCAAGTCAAACCTGGTTGCAGATTGCCTCTCCAGGGTCGTCATCGGTGCCGTCCAGTTGGGCCTGGACTATACTCGCATGGTGGCGGACCAGGTCACAGATCCCGGCATCCAGGCTCTGAAGGTGGAGAGTGTGGAGCTGCGCTTGGAGGACGTGGTGTTCGGCGACGCGGGCATTACAATCCTGTGTGACGTCTCTACGGGCCTGGCGCGGCCTATCGTCCCTGCCAGCTGGAGGCGTCCTGTGTTCGAGGCTGTGCACGGCCTGTCACACCCCGGCGTTAAACCTTCAGTACGTTTGGTAGCGGCAAAGTTCGTTTGGCAAGGACTGAAAAGGGACGTGAGGACTTGGGCCAGGGAGTGCGTGGCTTGTCAACGCGCTAAGGTGCACCGCCACACGAAGGCCCCGTTGGAGCGTTTCCTGGTGCCTGAGAGGAGGTTTGATCACGTCAACATTGACCTGGTTGGTCCATTGCCTTCCTCTCAGGGGTTTTCCTACCTCCTCACCATGGTGGACAGAACGACTCTTTGGCCGGAGGCGGTTCTGCTCGTTTCGACATCAGCCGCAGACGTTGCCCGGGCCTTCATTGCAACGTGGCCTTACGGACGGTAACTGGGTCGACAAGCTGCCCTGGGTGATGCTGGGCCTGAGGACCGCACCTAAGGAAGATCTGCAGTGTTCTACAGCGGAGATGGTCTACGGTCAGCCGCTGAGAGTTCCGGGGGATTTCCTCCCAAATGCATCAGCTCCCTGGTCTGCCACGGCCCAGCGAGTTTTTCTGCGTGACGCGGCGGAGGCTTTCGCTCCAGTCCCGACTACTCAGCACGGTGCGCCAGGGTCTCGAGTTCCCGTGGAGCTACGCTCGGCTTGGCACGTCTTCATTCGTCACGACGCACACAGAGGCCCCCTGCATTCCCCTTACGATGGACCTTTCCGGGTTTTGGAACACGGTGAAAAACACCTGGTGGTCGACATGGGCGGTAAGGCTGAGCACGTCTCGGTTGACCGGGTGAAGGCTGCTCACTTGGACGTGGACCGGCCGGTGGTGCTGGCTCGGCCGCCGAGACGGGGCCGACCACCGGCTTTGATTCCTGTCAGGGAGTGTGGACCTGTTGTTCCGGTCCCTCCTCTGTCAGGGGCCACACGGGCGGAGGTCGCTGTACCGACTCCGGTGCACAGGTCTTGTGGGGGCAGGCGGATTGTTCCTCCCCGCCATACGGATTTTGTTTACACCTGAATTCTCGGGGGGCTTGTGTGGTGACACGTTATTGGACATAATTCACCTCTCGTATTGTGTTGCCACACGGACCCTTTAGTGGGAACACCTGTAGCGTTAGCTTCCATTCCTGCTAGCTCATCAAGCAGAGCAGTTCATGTGATAACCTCTCTGTTATTAATGGCTAATAAAGATTAGAACTCTGTTCTTAATACACCGCCTCCGACTCCCTTTTCCTGGCACTACAGTGATATATATTTTATACACTGCTCTGCTTTCTGCACGGACCTCACAGCTGTTCTCTCTGTAAACATTGCGTTGCGATGAGAGCAGTTAATAAAATAATATCCAGGGGATGCATGCAGAGCTGTCATTGGCTGAGATAAGTCCGGCCGTGCGTCGCGACTCTTTGAAACATCTCTGTTACCGGAAATGCATCCACGAAAGAGCCGTGGAGGACCCATCAGTGTATCCTCGGTTATAG